GGGGCCGGCGGCTTTGGGGCTCAGCAGCAGCAACAGCAGCAGCAGCAGCAGCAGCAGCAGCAGCAGCGTCTGGGCGGAGGCTTCGGGGCCGGTGGCTTTGGTGCCACTGCGACCGGCTCGACCGGCTTCGGCGCTCAGCCCAGCGCCGGCGGCTTCGGTGCGCAGTCCAACACCGGCGGCTTCGGGGGCTTCGGCGCCAACACCGCCGCGCGCGCGCCTGTCTCCGGCTTCGGCTCCACCACCGGCGCCGGCGGTTTTGGTGCCCAGCAGCCCGCCTCGACCGGTGGCTTCGGTGCTGGTGGCTTTGGTACGTGCACTTCCGTCGGCCGAATCTTCCCATCTGCCTTGTCCACCACGCCCCGTCGGTCCCCAATGCCTTCGTGTGTGTGTGTGTGTGTGTCCCTGCACACATCATGTGTCTCGCCCCTTTCCCTTTCTGACACGCTCTTCTTCACTCCTTCTTGTAGGCTCCTTCAACGCGGGCCAGCAGCAGCAGACCCAGGGCGGCTTCGGCCAGACCGGCACCAATGCCTTCCAGGCCGGCAACACCTTTGGCGGTACGTAGTGGGCAAATGCGGGCACAGCCGTGCGCGCGCGCGCGCGCGCGCATCCACGCAGCCATTGTCCCGCTCCTCCTCCTCCTCCTCCTCGTTCTCTTCTCTGCTGCCTCGGCCTCGTCGACGCTCCCGGCCCGGCTCGCCTCACCCTGTCCTCTGACTTGTGGTCCCGTCCCTGCTCTCTCCTCCGTCCGCTTAGCCTCGACCCCCCCGGCCGACGCCAAGGGCACGCACACCCCCTTCCGGCCGATCTCCACCAACGAGTCGGCCACGCCGGTCCTGTTGATGACCATCACCGCCTCGCACCTGTACGCCAACAAGTCGGTCAATGAGATCCGCCTGGAGGATTATGCCATGGGCCGGCGGCCTTCCGGCGCGGGTGGCGCTGTGGCTGGCGCCACGGGCTTCGGTGCCGGTGCCTTCGGGCAGGCTGGCACTACGGGGGCCTTCGGCCAGCCGGCTGCCACGGGCGGCTTCGGCCAGCCAGCCGCCACCGGGGGCTTCGGTCAGCCGGCCGCCTCGACCGGCGGCTTCGGCGCCTCTGCCGGGGGCTTTGGTCAGCCGGCTGCCACCGGGGGCTTCGGCCAGCCGGCTGCCACGGGTGGCTTCGGCCAGCCAGCCGCCACCGGGGGCTTCGGCCAGCCGGCCGCCTCGACCGGCGGCTTCGGCGCCTCCACCGGGGGCTTTGGCCAGACCAACACCACCGGCGGATTTGGCTCGACCACCGGCGGGTTCGGCTCGACCACCGGGGCATTCGGTGCCGGGGCCAAGCCGGCCACCACCGGCGGCTTCGGTCAGCCGGCCGCCACTACCGGCGGCTTTGGCGCCTCGACCACCGGCGGCTTCGGCACCTCGACCACCGGCGGCTTCGGCGCCTCGACCACCGGCGGCTTCGGTGCCTCGACCGGCGGCTTCGGGTCGACCACCGGTGGATTCGGTGCCGCGGCCAAGCCGGCCACCACCGGGGGCTTCGGCCAGCCGGCCGCCACCGGGACCACCGGGTTCGGCGGGTTTGGCACCACGCCGGCCGCCGGGGCCACCACCACCACCACCACCACCGGCGGGTTCGGCGGGTTCGGGTCCGGGAGCGGGTTCGGCGCGGCGCCGGCCGCCGGGACCACCGGCGCCGCCAGCACCACCGGGTTCGGCGGGTTTGGCAGCACCCCGGCCGCCGGGACCACCACCGGCACCGGGTTCTTTGGCGGGTTCGGCGCCTCGACCGCCGGTACCGGTGCCGGGCTGGGGAGCTTCGGCTCGATGCCCTCGACGCAGCCGCTCACCGCGGCCGGGGCGGCTCCGGCCACGATGGCCACCGCTGCTCTGCCCATGCCGGATCTCAATCTGCGCATTGACAACCCCTTCGGCTCGAGCGTCCTCTCGAGCCTGGTGAAGCCCCTGCGCAAGGCTGATGACGAGGTGGTGGACTACAAGCCGAAGGCGGCGAAGGCCGTGTCGGCCACCGGGGGCGCTTCCTCGGTGTCCGGCTCGCGCGACACCACCAGCGTCGCCATGAAGATCAACTTTGCCCAGCCGCAGCGCCAGGTGAGCCTGCGCATGTTGGAGCCCTCGTCGGCCGCCACGCGTGTGACCGAGGATAACTTCGCCCCGGCGGCCGGGCCGTCGGCTGCCACGGTCGGGTCCTTCGCGCCGGGCGGCCTGGCTGGCTGCAATGTCAAGCGCCTGCAGATCAGCTCGGTGCTGGAGCCGCCCGATCTGCTGGACGAGGCGCCCCTGGCCCCGGCCGCCCCGGTGCGCGGTGCCGCCACCACGCCGGCCGCCCCGGCGGCCCCGGCGGCCTCGGCGACGGCGCCCCCCAAGGCTGACAGTGCTGTCAAGGGGGCCGACAAGCCTGCTGCCCCCGCGGACAAGCCTGCCGCCTCTGCCGCCAAGGCAACCGTCGTCGCCGACAAGGCCGACAAGGCGGCCACTGCCACGCCCGTCGTCGACAATGGCCTCACCATGTCCAAGTCGGACTACTCCTTCACACCGCCTCTCGCCACACTGCGGACGCTGTCCCCGGAGGAGGTGCGCATTTACACCTGCCGGCTGCTTTCCCTCCCTGTTCCGATGGCTGGGGCCCTGTCCATGGCTCCCTCGCCCCCTTCTTCCCCCCTCCCCTCTTCTCCCCTTTTTCCTTTCCTTCTTCTCTTCTCTCCCCCGCCCCCCCCCCCCCGCACAGCTCAAGTCCGTCAACCTCTCCATCCGCCGCGATGGGTACGGCTCGGTGTCCTTCTCCCGGCCGGTGGATCTGACCGGGGTGCGGGACTTCGCCGAGGTGGTGAAGATCTCCCACCGGAATGTGGTCGTGTACCTGGACGATGAGACGGCCCCGCCGCAGGGGGTCGGCCTGAACCAGCCGGCTGTGGTGGTGCTCCACCGGTGCTGGCCGTCAGTGCGCGAGGGCGACTGGGTCACCGAGTGGGAGGACAGCCTGCGCAAGCGCAACGCCAGCTCCGACTCGGAGTTCCTGTCGTACGCCCCGGACACCGGGACCTGGTCCTTCCGGGTGGCGCACTTCTCCTGGTACGGCCTGCCGGATGAGGAGGAGAGCGACGACGCCCTGCCGCAGCCGGACGACAAGCCGGCCGGCCCGAAGCCCCTGGTGGTGTCGGCCGCTGCTCCGGCCGCCGTCCCCGCCGATCAGCACCATTTTGATCGTGCCGGATCCTTCCGCGTCGGCTGGACTCCAGATGGCACGTATTTTACGGCGCTCCCCGGTGCTGTGACTGCCGCTGTCGGCGGTGGCCGCGTGCCGGGATCCCCCACCTTTGCCCTGGCTCGGGCCGGGCCGCACCGGCGGCCGGCCGCGCAGCAGCAACAACGTCGCCAGTGGACCCGGGCCTTTCTCGGCCTGATGGTGTCCCACATGGAGGTGCTTCCGGCTGGCGCTGGCAGCGTCGGCCCCGGCGAGGGTGGCTCCGTGGCGGTGGCGGCCGCCGGATTGCCGGGTGTTTGCCTTCGGGCGCACCCGCTGGCGGCCTACCGCGACCGGCTGGTGGCCGAGCATCGCCTGGCCCCCCCCGACGGCCATGCCGCCCCCCCCGACGGCCATCCTGCCACCCGTACGCCGTGCTTCCTGTCGATCTCCGGCCCGGTGGCGGCGGCGGCTGGCCCCGGGCCTGCGGCCGACTTTGCCCTCGGTCGTGAGGTGTTCCTGTGGGACCTGGCCAGCTGTCTGTTTGATCGGCCGGCCGGGGCCCTGGCAATCCGGGCGGCGGTTCTCGGCGCCTGGCGCCGTGAAGCCCTGTTGGGCTTGCTGGCTCGGCTGGCAGCCGGGTACCTGGCTGGGCGTCTGGCGCAGCCCGGGCTGGGCGCCGATGAGCGGGCTTTCTTGCTGCTCTTCCTGCACCCGACGGATTTGGCCCCGGCGGTGGAGGCGGTCGCCGCGGCCGGGCACTTCCGGCTGGCGGCCTTCCTGGCGCAGGCGGCAGCCGGGCCGGACTTTCGTGTCGGGCTGGACCGGGCGCTGGCCGAGGTGGCCGCCACTCCAGGAGCGCTGGCCGCCAAGGCGGGCAATCCCTTCGCCGTGCGGCTGTTGAAGGTGGCCGCCGGGCGGCTGGATGCCGATGCCCTGGCCGGGCTCCCGTGGGAGTTGTGCTTCTTCCTGTGCCTGCGCTTCGGCGTGGACGAGGAGGCCATGATGGCCGGGCGAGCCATCGAATGTGCGCTCGATCTGTTTGACGGCCTGCTGGCAGCCGGCCAGCACCGGCTGGTCCCCGGCGCCGAGCCGGACATCCTGTACCACCTGGTCGGGGTGTACAGCGGCCGGGCTGGGGCTCTGGTTCGGTGTTTGGCCGGCTCGGCGGCCCCGGCCACCGCGCGCATTGGCTGGGCCCTCGGGCACCTGCTGCCGATGCTGGCGTCCGGGTCGCCCCCGGGCCAGGGGGCGGAGCCGCACGAGGAGAGTGCCCTGCACCGCCTGGACCGGGGCCTGATGGCCGAGCGCCTTGGGCGCTGCCTCGCCGGGGTGGCCATGCCCGGGGCGGGGCCCACGGCCGCCGACATCCTGGCTCGCCTGCCCGTGTCGGGAACCCTGGCGCTGGCTTTCGGCTCGGAGTTGGAGGCCCTGGGCCTGTTGGAGTGGGCCTGCCTGCCGCACCTGCTGCCGGCGTCGCACGACCGCGCGGCCGAGGTGCAGGGGGTCCTTCGTCGGGGCGTGGCCCCAGGCGTGTGGACTGCCCCGGGGGATGTGGCCGGGGCGGCGCTCTTTGCCGCGGCCGGCCCCACGGCCGCGCACCCGCGCCACCCCCAGCACCAAGCGCTGGACTTCATCTCCGGCGACTTGGCCACCCTGGGGCTTCCTCGGACTTGGGTGTATGCCGCCCTGGCCGAGGCGAATCTGGCGGTCCCGGGCCCGGTCGGGCACTTGGCCGGCACTCCGCTGGGTCCGCTGGCGGGGGCCACCCTGGCAGGGCATTTCCTGCTGCTGGCTGGTCGGCCCGGGGCCGCTTTGGCTCGGGCCGTGGCCGGGCTCCTGCCGGAGGCCATCCTGGCTGATGATCGGCCGCGACTGCGCCTGGCCCGGGCGTTCCTCGAGGCGGCCGGCGCGGCGGTCACCCTGCCGCCGGCGCTTGGCCGGGCGGTGAAGAAGGCCGCCAAGAGCGCCGCCCCCGGGGGGGCCAGCCACGACGACCCTGTGGCGCTTCCCGCCGCCGGTGGTGGCCTCCTCGGGGTGCCGCTGTCTTCGGGGCTGGTGACGGCCCTGCTTCCGGCCGGGGGGGATCCCCTCTCCGGGGGGGTGCTACTCCTGGCCATGGTGTACCTGGCGTATGTGCGCCTGCGCCTGGCCGCGGCCGACCTCTTCGGTCCGGTGCTGATTTTCCCGGCCCTCCCGGCCGAGGACAAGCCCTCGACCGGGGATGGCGGGCCTGCCGCCCCGTCGACACCGGTCCCGTCGCAGGCGCGCTTTGACGCCCTGGCCACCCAGGTGGCCGGGCTCCGGGACATGCTGGGCCTGCTGCCGCTAGACGCGGGGCTTGCCCCGGCGCCGGCCGATGGGGCTGACAGCCCGCCGGCCGCCGACCGGAATCCCCTCCTGCTGCTGGGCCGCGTGTGCCGCCACTACATGGGCAATGTCCTGCGCGAGCTGGCGGACTTCCTGGCCCAGTCACAGGAGGTTGCCGCGGCCGATTAAGGGCCAAGGGAGGGGCGGGGGATGGGGGGGCGGAGACCCCCACCGGACGCGGAGCCGGGCCGGATGTGCTCCTCTTCCTGCGTCGCTCTCCTCGCCCTCGGCTCCTCCTCCCCCGCCCATTTTGCCCCTGCTCATATTTCCCCCCCTGCGCCCGACGCAACTGTCCTTTTCTCCTTCTTGATTCATTTCCCCCCCCCCCCCTTCCTCTCTCTCTCTCTCTCCCTCTGTCTCTCGCCCTTCTCTCCCCTCTTGAATACAACTTTTCCTTTGTTGCACCTGCAACCTGCTTGTCTCTTGCCATGCTAGCCGTCATGATGGTCGGGCTTTTTTCTTTTCTTTGCCGAGCATGTGTCGTGGCGGCTCTCGGCCGTCCTCCCCACATTTGAGGCCTGTGTCTGTGGGGGCCACCAGGCGTTCTGCTGGCGGGCGGGGGTCTATGTGACCGCTTGCAGGCGAGACCTGGCTGCCATCCGGAAGGCTCCGCTCCAAGATGCGTGCTTCACCGAGGAGCAAACAATGCAGGGGCCCCGAGGGCCGACACCTCCCTGCTGTGTGTGACGGGGGTCGCGGGGCCGCGCGAGTGGACCCCTTCGCCGCCAGCCAATCCTAGCGGTGGGCCCAAGGATGATGTCTGACGTTGCACGAATAGCAGCGGGG